TAGAAAGCCTCATCTTTCTCCCGCGGAGCGGCTGGTAGTTTCGAACCGCTGACCTTATGGTTCGCAGCCCGATTCGTAACCACTACGCTACCAGAGCTCCTTTCCTTCTTGTTAGTTTCTGTGAAATTGAATCTGACTTAAGGTGTCCCAAGTGTGCTGAGTAGAACTGCTCCATAGAGTTTTTAAGGGTGTGGCCTTTTAGAAACAGATTGCCAGGTCTTTCTGTGAAGGCACCTCTGTTGCTAATCAACTTTATGATTAGCAACTGAGCACTTAACGATTTGTGACACTCCAGGACACTTTTTTCCTTACCGATCAGATTTACAAGGAATATATGAGACTGTTCTTTCTTGGTGTGTGTATGTTTGTTTCTAAGATGACTAACCCATTTGGTAGCTGTTGGTCATTGAGCAGAAGCAATCAGTAAAACAGAATTCAACCCTGACTTGGTTGTCTAGCCACAAGAAAGCCCCCTCTGCACCCAACTTTTCTCATCTGTGAAGCGAGTGGAGATTACTGAAATTCTATAAAATACCTAATTTCTATTAAGCCAAAGGGAGTGTGGTGGCATCATATGGTAAGCAATGGACTATGAAATACAAGGTCCGTGGTTCGAGCTGTCAGCTGCTTTGAAGGTAGGGAAGGATGAACTCTCTGCTCCCGCAAAGTTTGAAAGCCTCAGAAACAGTAAACAGGTTCCCTATGCATTGGAACCGACTCGACAGCACATAACAACAATAGATTAAGCCAAATGAAATTGGATTCAACTCATTTCTTCAAGAGTAGAACTTGGTTGCTGCCTTTATCTCCGAGACCTCTAAGAAAATATTTTTTTCTCTTTCCCATACAGCTGAGAAAAGAAACCACTTCCATCTCCCAAAGGAACATGATGCTTCTCAGGAAATCACAGCGCAAGATCTTCTGAAGCCGGACTCTGCGGCAGAAGATCTTCCTCAGGGTGGACAGCTGCCTGCGGAAGGGATGCGGGAATCCAGGAAGCACTCAGTGAAGTCCAGAAGAGACCTCCCCCTCTTCTGCTGCACTGCTGGCTGTAGCATGGCTGACTTGAGCTCTTTTTGTTAAGACTAGAGTATTTGTCAGTGGGTGGCAGAGCTTTACACTTGCTTAAATCACAGTGTTTCACTGCCTGGTACTACAACAATACAGTGTCATTAAAATGATGGCTTATGAATAGGCATTGATTCTTTTCTAAAAGTTGTTGGTGAATGGTTAAAACCACAACGAAGTCTGTTTTCTCCTTATACCAAAATTCTAGTGCTTTGCATTTAAAATGCTGGAATATATACTACCATTAACCTAGATTATTACAAAATTGCAATAAAATTGTCAGAAGTTCATTGTTATTTCTCTCTTTTTTTAAAAAAAAAATTAACATATCATTTTTTAAAAAAAAGTAGATGATAGAAGATACTGATGGTATAAAAACCTTTAAAAAGTATATAAAAACTTAACATGAACTAGGATCTTTGCTGGTGTTAGGTACCATTGAGTTAGTTCCAACTCATAGGGACCCTATATATAACAGAACAAAACACTGCCTAGTCCTGCGCCATCCTCATTGACAGTCTTCCTCTTTTTTCATTGACCCTCCACTTTACCAAACATGAAGACTTCCCCAGGACTGGTCCCTCCTGCTGATGTACAAAGTGTGTGAGACGAAGTCTCGCCATTATTGCTATTAGGCGCCATCAGGATAGTTCTGACTCATAGTGACCCTATGCACACAAGAACAAACCATCATCCCTGTGCCATTCTCAGAACTGTTACATTTGAGTCCATTGTTTTTGGTACTGTGTCAATTTATCTAATTGCAAAAAAAATGTTTTGCTGACCCTCCATTTTGACAAGCATGATGTCCTTCTCTTGTTATCAGGGCTGGTTCTTCCTGCTAACATGTCCAAAGTATGACAGAAAGAGTTTCACCATCCTGGCTTCTAAGGAGCATTCTGGTTGTACTTCTTCCAAGATAGATTTGATTTTCCTTTTGGCAGTCTATAATACTTTTAATATTCTTCTCTAATACCATAATTCAAATGCATCAATTCTTCTATGGTCTTTCTTATTCATTTTCAAATATCAACATTGTTGTTGTTGTTAGGTGCCCTTGAGTCAGTTCCGACTCATAGTGACTAATACACAACACAGCACAATATTTATGCCTTATGCTATTCTCCCTTGATGGTCCCAGGGACCTCTGCTCCTAGGCTGAAAAGTTAATCACTCTCCTCCTTGCTACAAAATGTCTACCGTTACATTTCTAACCATCACAAGCAGTCCTGATAACAATTATTCACTATTGTATCACAAGAGACCCATCCGCATTTCATTTCATCAGTCCCACCTAGACAGATTGGATACTACTCAGTGGAGATTCTACCTTCCTCCATGACCTCTGAATCTAGGTTCCCTCTTGAAAGCTTGTAAGCCAGTCACTTCTTGCCTTTGTAGCCCCCCATTTTGGGTAGCCAATGCCCAAGTTGCCCATTCGTGTCTACCCTGTGTATCCTTCCATCTTCTTTTCATGATTTCTGCATTATTTGATATTTTGCCACTGGAATCCTTTGATATTGCAAGTTGAGACTTGAACTTTCTCAGGATTCTTTCAGCTTGAAAAATGCTAGGTGAGTTCTTCCTTTTTGGTTTTGTAATTCACCACATCTGAAAATTTGAGGTCCACCACTTGTCCGTCAGTTTGTCATCCTGTGGTGGCTGGGTAGTTGCTATGATTCTGAAAGCCATGCCACCAGTATTTTAAATACCAGCAGGATCAGCCATTGTGAATAGGTTTCAGATGAGCTTCCAGATGAAAATAGACTAGGAAGAAGCAATAGATGAACCACTTCCAAATATTTAGTCACTGAAAACCTTATGAATAACAGAGAAACACTGTCAGATATAGTGCCAGAAAATCAGCCCCTCAGGTTTAAGGCACTCAAAATGTGACTGGGAAAGAGCTGCCTCCTCAGAGTAGAGTTGACTATGAAGATGTGAATGGAGTAAAGCCCTTGGAAGAAAAGTCCATGGGACCTTCATTGCTAATGGGGCACAACTCAAAATGAAGAGAAACAGCTGTAAGCATCCATTGAAAATCAGAATAGAATATACGAAGTATGAATCTGGGAAAATTCGAAGTTGTCAAAAATGAAATGGAACGCATAAATATCAATATCTTAGGCATTAGTAAGCTGAAATCGACTGGTATTGGCCATTTTGAATCTGACAACCACATGGTTTACTATGCCAGGAATGGCAAATTGAAGAGGAATGGTACTGCAGTCATTGTCGAAAAGAACCAAAAAGGAATAACACGCTCAGCATTTCTCAAGCTGGAGGAACTGAAGAAAAATTCAAG